GGACCTTGAGGGTGTTATGCTGAGCGAAATAAGTCAGGCAGAGAAGGACAAATACCATATGTTTGCACGTATAGGAGGATTAGGAGGAACTTGACGGAGGAACAAGGGGGAGAAGAAGGGGGGAAATGGTGGGGGAAAGGGAGAGAGGCAAACCATGAGAGACTCTTGAATGCTGACAAAAACTGAGGACAGATGGATGTGGGGGGGAGGGGGGGATGGGCATGGAGGAGGACACTTGTGGGGATGAGCACTGAGTGTCATGTGGAAACTAATTTGACAATAAACTATTTAAAAAAAAAAAAACAAAAACAAATGGAAACAAATAACCTAAAAAAAACCATTACAAAGTTGTAGGAATAATTTAATAGCGATTTAAATAACAGAGAGTTTGAATAGGATGTTGTGAAATAAACAGACTAGTGTGATAGTAACTTTGTAAGCTATTTTGGAAAGTAATTAAAAAACATGACTTCCTGGTCGAAAAAATAAAAAATAAAAAAAAAAATAAAAACTATTGTACATTTTTACTTATGTGAGTTACCTAGAATAGGCAAATTCATAGATACAGAAAGTAGAATAGAGGTTCTCAGGATTTGGGGAGGGATGAATGGGGAAATAATGTTTCATGTATACAGATTCCAATGACTTCTGTCCTCATCAAAAGTACATAAGCTATGGCTAGCTTGGGGGTTGTAAGGGTTTCTGAGAAGGAAAAAATAAGAGACATGGGAAAGTTCATCAAAAGTAGAGCGCAGATCAACAGACTGCCCTGCATTGTCCTGTTCTGTGCACCTGAGCTGGCGGAGAAGCTGTGAGGACACAAACATGCTGAGTATGGATGCTCCTTCAGCTGTCATCCCCTCTAAGACCCTCTTACCTTACCTAAAAGCAGGCCCTTCCTGAGGTTCCCGCCTGAAGTGACTGATGGCCCAGTCATTTGGCCCAACTTGGCACAGCCCTGAGGGAACCTTTTCGTTTCAAAGCTCCCCATGAATCAGGTGAGTCTGTCATGTCTGCATTGAAGCTCCACGGAATCCTACTTTTGCCCATTCCCTTGCACAGATATTGATGTCAAGGCATCCCCTAATGAGCATCCTGCACAGGCTTTGTCCTTGGCCTGGATGGGTCCTGAAGCTCTGCCTCTCTCCTCTATGTCAACCCCATTTCCTCCACTGGTACCACACGTGTGGGTGCTCCTTAGGTTCTGTCTGCCCATTCTCCTCTCAGTAGGCTCACTTGCTCTGGGCTCCTACCTGTTTTTCTCCAGCCTCACAGTCCTCCCGGGACCTCCTAGTCTTTCCTTTACCACTCCAGCCATGCTATCACCCTTCCCCTTCCAATCCATCCTTCCCAAGGCAGCCAAGAGGTGCTTTTGAAAACACGGTCTGATCCTTTTCTCCTCTGATAAAAGCAATTCTTTCAATAATGTCCAGATGCCCTTGAGGTGAAAAACACACCTCTAGATGTGCTCAAGACCTCAATATTGGCCAGTCCCTTTCCCTTCCCCTCCTTCCTGCTCCACCTCCCCAGGATCCTGTGAGGGCCTCACTGCTCAGGCCTTTGCACTGGCCACTCCCTCAGCCTGGAGCTCCCTGGCCCACCACCTCCCTGGTGCCTCAGAAAATACTGCAGGCACACAGCAGGGCACACTAGTTTTCATCCAATTCAACCTACCGTATGAACAAATGAGTAATGAGTCTAATGAATAAGGTGGGAGTGAACCACTCAAGACCTTCCTGCAGGTGACACACTATGTTTGCTTCTGAAACCACTGCAGGGACCCATTCAGCCTCAGGGGTTTTGGAATGGGCTTTGGAGGAACACATTCCAGAGTTTCAACTCCTGCTCCATGTCTTCCCATCTGAGGACTTTAGGGGGTCATTCCTGGCCCTGAGTGGCTTCTTTCTCTCACCTTGAAATAGGGGTCATAACATTTACCCACAGTTGCGAGGAGGACTCAGTGATGAAGCTGCTTTCTCCTTTACTCTTGTCCCCAGTACAGAGCAGCACCTGGCCTCCCTCATCTAATTTGTCTACATTCTTCAAAATAGATTCAGAATCTGGCCACTCAGCACCTTCACCCCTACCTTACTGGTCCACACCACCATTATCTCCTTCCTAGATTCCTACACCAGATACTACCCCCTTCCCCTCCCCCCCCCCCCGCCCCCGCACTGGTCTGCCCTTGGGCCCTTCAATTGTGATCTTTTCAGACCAAGATCTAATGGCATGCCCCATCTGCTCAAAAACACCCTCTCATCCCCCTTCACCTTCTAGTCTGTCAGCCCCACCTTCCCTGGCCACCTATTCAGAATAGGCCCTCCCTCAGCACTTCCCATCTTCCTGCCCTGATTCCCATCCCCACCCCCAGCCCCGTGCTTATCCCATCTAACACACTACTTCCTCTCCTTTTTTATTTCTTTCCTCTCTCATGGAAACTCCAGGAGGCTGTTTGATGCCTTATCCCCACGCCCAGTGACTGACATAGAACAGTTGCTCAGTCATTATTTGTGAGTGGATGAATTGTTAAGGGAATGAATGAATGAACAGAACTGCTTATCACATGCGTGAGAGGTCCCAGAGAACCTCGCAGAGAGTCATGAAGCAGAGGCATTTGACCCCTACCCCACCACCCCAAAGGGCACGTCAGAAGAAGGCAGAGCCAGGGAGGAGAGGGGCCCCTGCAGTGCTGGGGAGTCCCCAGCCCCAGTGTGCATGATTTGCCTTCTCTAGTAGCATTTTATACTCATCCTCCACAATTCTATCTGATGCTGTGCTGGGCAAACTACCTCCAAATTCCCCTTCATCCTCATCACAGCCTGGTGAGGTGGGTATGAAGATCCCCATCATACATATGGGGACCCTGAGGCACACAGAGGTGAAGCAATTTGTTCAGGGGCCCATAACCGGTGAGTGCTGTCTGTCTGACTTGCACTCAGTGGTCATTATTCCCCTTTCCCCAAGAGCAACAGAGAGAAGTGCCTTAGCGAGTATGCCCTCACCCTCCAGGAATTCCTCATCAAGCTGGCCCTCAAAGGAAGTGTAAAGCCTTCTTCAACCAGACTGAGTGTGCATAGGCCCCAGGGAGATGGTGCTCTATCCCTGGGGTTGAGGAGTTCATTATGGTTTCAGACAAGCCTGGTCTGGCAAGCTGCAGGTAGGATCTAGCTGGACTCTTTAACTGATGGCCTGAGGCTGAGAAAGGGGTGTGTAAAGGCTCTTTCATGGGCACCCTCAGCTCTTCCTATCTGCACAATCCAGCAGGATTTAGTCCTGACACTTGCTATTCTGGCTTGTCAAGACTGAATGACCCAGAGAAAGGCTGTCAACCCCCTTAATGACTTTCTACCCCAGCCCTAATGCCTGAGAGAGAAATCGCTATCCCCCTTGGCTGTGTCAAGTATCACTGAGGCAAGACCTGCCCAGGGCAACTTAGAAGTTCCTTCACAAGACGGTGAGGAAGGATTTATTCCAGTGGGCAGGGTGGTTCCCATCTCTGCTGGTGGCTAGGCACACATCCCCCTAGTCATCAGCTTCCATGGAGAATAGAAGGAATCAGAGGCAGTACAGCCTGGGATGCCGCCTGCCATCAGGGCACACAGGAAGCCGAGTCTTGCCACCCCCACCAGCCTTGGGACTACTTCATCCAGTCTCTAGATGCCTCCCCCTTTCCATGAGATCGCAAATGCAAATTCCTCCCTACCCTACATTCTGGGATGGCTTTGAGGATGACAGGAGTGCTGTGAAAAGGGCTTTGGAAACCAAAATGTGCTTCAATGATATTATCGACAGTCATACCACTGATAGCATTGACTCAGTAAAGTTCGTTCTCAACCCAACAGACAAGTTGCAAATGGAACCAACCTCTCCAAGCATGAAGATCTGTCCCCTTTTGAGGGCCCCAAGGTGTCCAGCTTCCCTGGACAATATCGGGTCAGATCTAACTGTTCTGAAAGTGCCCACAAACTGTAACTAGTCTTTAAGCAGTTGAAGAAGAAAGCAAAACCCTTGAGAGGAAAACAAAGGACTTTCTTCCTTCCTTTCTTTCTTTTCTTTTAAATTTTAAAGTTTATTTATATATTTTGAGGGGGGTTGGGGCAGAAAGAGAGGAGGAGAAAGAATCCCAAGCAGGCTCCCTGTGTCAGGGCAGAGCCTATTGTGGTACTTGATCTCAAGAACCATGAGATGGTGTCCTAAGCAGAAATCAAGAGTCAGACACGGGCAGTGCCTAGGTGGCTCAGTCCATTAAGAACCCAACTGCGGTTTAGGTCATGATCTCACCATTCGTGAGTCCGAGCCCTGCACTGGGCTCTGTGTTGACAGCTCAGAGCCTGTAGCTTACTTTAGATTCTGTGTCTCCCTCTCTCTGCTCATGCTCTGTCTGTCTCTCTCTCTCTCAAAAATAAATAAATAATAAAACATTAAAAAGAAAAAAAGAGTCAGATGCTTAACCGACCGTGCCACCCAGGTACCTAGGAAAACAAAGGACTTTCCACACTGTGACACTATGAAAATGCCCAGTAGAAGCAACACGTAATCTCTCTGGGGGCCTGTAAAATAAAACCCACTTGGGAGGAAAACAACATAAGCAAGCAAAAAACCTCAGGCAGAAACTGAAGCCCAGCGAGCTTCTAACAACTGTTGAGAAGGAACTCCTAGCAATCTCCTGCCTCTCCAGCTATTTAAGGGACATGCAGGCCACAGATCCAGGCCATGCTGGGGGGGGGGGGGGGGCTGAGAACCACCCAGAAACCCTATGGCGGCTCTTTTTCCTCTCCAATGGGAAAAGTCCCAGAGAACAAATTTTGGAGGCATTCCTTCTGCCTCAGGAACAAGGTGGGGGGGAGCGGGGGGACACAGAAGTCCCTTGGTTCTGACCAAGGTTACCCTCCATCCCTTGGCTCACAGAAGCTGGCGTCCCCTTTGGCCACGACCTGCGCCTCTTGACTTCAGGGACCACACCACCCTGGGGCACTGGGTAGGGCAGGAGGCGCACTCACTTATCCAAGATGAAGTAAAGGTCATATGCGCTCTGGCAGGATTCCGATGTTTCTTTTACTCGGCTCTTATGGGAATAGTGGCCGCGGAAGTGGTGGACGGTTCCCCCATCTGGACGGAGGTGGTGGTGGAGGGTTCTCCTGCTCGGAGCGAGGCCATGCAGGTCTTTGGAGCCCCAGACGCTGTGCTGCAAACTTCCGGCTTTCATCAGCGGAGGCCGCAGCACCAGTAGCAGGAACAGCGCGGGGCCTGGCACGCCCAGGCCGTGGCCCCCCATTTTCCTGGCCGCCCTCCTGGAGCTGCTGCACGCGGCCACCTCGGTCGGCTGCCTTCGGGGACTCCGCCTTGGCTCCCTCCAGCACTTTTCCAAGGCCCACTTCAAGCCTCCACCTGCTACCTGCCCTTTGGGCAGAAGAGGCAAGCGGTTGGCTCTGGGGCAATGAGCCCAGTATCTCCTGGCCCTTCCCCCGCGCCCCTGGGGCAGAAGGCCTTGTTATGATGGACAGGAGGGTTGGCATGGTGACTTTGTGACCTGCGGCTCTGCTCAGTGTCCTGCCTGTTGACAACCCCAGGCAGGAGTCATTGGATCTTCGGATGGGGGGGGATAAGGTGAGGCCTCCATTGTCTCTTATCCTAAACCCTCACAGATGGCCAGTAAAGTCTCCAAAACTCTGCCTTTTTATAACTCAAAGAAGGCAGCTGAACTGGCTTAGATGAGGACATCCCTGTGGGTGGCCAGGAGAGTGATAGCTGTGGGTTTGTCACATATGCCTTTATTATGTTGAGGTAGGTTCCTTCTATACCTAATTTGTTAAGAATTTTTATAATGAGGGGCGCCTGGGTGGCTTAGTCGGTTAAGCGTCCGACTTTCGCTTAGGTCATGATCTCGCGGTTCGTGGGTTCGAGCCCCGTGTCGGGCTCTGTGCTGACTGCCGGCTCGGAGCCTGGAGCCTGTTTCAGAGTCTGTGACTCCTTCTCTCTCTGACCCTCTCCTGCTCACACTGTCTCTCTCTCTCTCTCTCTCCTAGAAATAAAACGTTAAAAAAAAATTTAAAAAAAAGAATTTTTATAATGAATAGGTGTTGGTTGAGTTTTGTCAAGTGCTTTTTTCTTCATCTGCTGAGATGATCCGATGATTTGTTTCATTCTATTAATGTGATGTATCATATATATTTATTTGTGTGTGGTGAACCCATCCTTGTATTCTGTGGATAAATCCAACTTGATCATGGTTAATGATTCTTTTAATGTGCTGCTTAATTTGTTTGCTAGTATTTTATGGAGAATTTTGCATCTACTTTCTATATTTGCATACAAGGATATCAACTTGTAGTTTTCTTTCTTGGTAGTATCCTTTCTGGCTTTGGTATCAGGGTAATGCTGGCCTCATAAAATGACTTTGTATTTTCTCATCTTTGATTTTTTTTTGGAAGATTTGGAGAAAGACTGACATGAAGTCCTCTTTAAATATTTGGTAAAATTCACCAGGGAAGTCATCTGGTTCTGGACTTTGTTGGGAGATTTTTGATTACTGATTCAATCTGTTTATTAGTAATTGGTCTGTTCAGTTTTTCTAACTTTTCTGATTTAATCTGGGTAGGTAGTATGTTTCTAAGAATTTTTCTATTTCTTCTAGGTTGTACAGTTTGTTGGTATATATTTATTCATAGTAGACTCTTATGATGCTTTGTATTTCTGTGGTATCAGTTGCAATGTCTCTCTTTTCACTTACAGTTTTAATGATTTGGGTCCTTTATCTTTTTTTCCTTAGTCTAGTTATAGGTTTGTCAGTTCATCTTTTCAAAGAACCAATTCCTAGGTATGTTAATTTTTCTATTGTTTTCCTTTTTTCTGTTTTATTTTTGTTCTAGACTTTATTTATTTATCTTCTGCTAACTTTGGGCTCAGTTTGTTCTTCTTTTTCTAGGTCCTTGAAGTGCAGAGTTTGGTTTATTTGAGATCTTTCTTGTTTCTTAACGTAGGCATTTATTGCAGTGAAGTTCTCTCTTAGAACTGCTTTTGCTGCATAAGTTTTGGCTTGTTGTGTTTCCATTTTCACTTGTCTCAACATACTCTTAAATTCTCCTTTAAAAAAATTTTAAGTTGATTTATTTATTATGAGATAGAGACAGAGTAGCAGGGAGGAGCAGAAAAAAAGGGAGAGAGAATACTAAGCAGTTCTGTGCTGTCAGGATGGAGTCTCACATGGGGCTTGAACTCATGAACCATGAGATCATAATATGAGCTGAAACCAAGAGTCAGACACTTAACCAACTGACCCACTCAGGTGCCCCTTAAATTATCTTTTTAATGTATTCCTTGATCTATTGGATTATTTAGGATGGCATTTAATTTCTATGTATTTGTGAGTTTTCTAAGTTTTCCTCCTGCCTTTGATTTTTAGTTTCTTACCATTGTGGTGAGAGAAGATGCGTGGTATAATTACAGTCTTCTTGAATTTGCTAAGATTTTGCTTTGTGGCCTAAAATATGGTCTATCCTAGAATTTGCTCCAAGGGCTCTTAAGAATTGTATTCTGTTATTTAAAGACAGAATATTCTGTATATATCTGTTGGGTCCATTTGGTCTACAGTCTTGTTCGCATCCACTGTCTCCATATTGATTCTCTGTCTGATTGTTTAGAGTGGGGTATTATAGTTCCCAAATATTATTATATTGATATTTACTTTTCCTTTTAGTTGTTAATTTTTGCTTTATATATTTAGGTGTTCCAAAGTGGGTGTCTAAATATTTACCATTATATTTTCTTGATATATTGACCACTTTATCATTAGATAATGACCTTCTCTGTCCCTTTTTACCATTTTTAGTTTGAAGTCTGTTTTGTCTGATATAAGTATAGCTACCTCTGTTTTTGGTTTTTTTGTTTGTTTGTTACAATTTGGTTGAAATATCTTTTACAATCCCCTCACTCTATGTGTATATTAAAGGCTAAAGTGAATCTCTTGTTCGTAGGATATCATTGGATCTTGGGTATTTTTTTAAATCAGTTCAGTGATCCTATGTGTTTTGTTTGGAACATTTAATCCATTTATGTTTAAAGTAATTATTGATAAGTAAGACTTACTATTGCCATTGTGTCAATTGTTTGACTGTTTTGTAGATCCATTTTTCCTTGCTTCTTATCCTGCTATCTTTTTAAAAGTGCTTTGAGGGGCAGCTGGATGGTTCAGTCAGTTAAGCATTAGCCTTTGGTTCAGGTCATGATCTAGTGGTTCGTGAGTTCAAGCCCCGCATTAAGCTCTGTGCTGACAGCTCAGAGCCTGGAGCCTGCTTTGAATTCTGTCTCTCTCTCTCTCTCTCTCTCTCTCTGCCCCTTCCCTGCTCATGCTGTCTCTTTGTCTCTCAAAACTGAGTAACATTAAATTTTTTTTAATGTTTTGGTGTATTTTGGTATCAGTATACTTTGATTTCTTTATCACGTTATTTTGTGTAATTATTATAGGTTTTTCCTTTGTGGTTATCATGAAGCTTACATAAAATCTATTAAAATTATAACATCCTATTTAAAACTGACAGCAACTTAACATTGACAACATTCCTAAACTTCACACTTTTGCTTCTCTTTCTCCTCACATTTTAAGTTCATGTTACATATATATTTATAATTATATTTATATTTATGTTTATATTTATAACATTGTGTATCTAATAACAGACTCTTGTAGCTATGGTTACTTGTACTTTGTTTGCTTTTTAACTTTTAAAGTAAGAAGCGAATTATGCACCATCATTACTATATTACAGAATCTAACTATGATTATATATTTACCATTACAAGTGAGTTTTACACTACCGTCTTATGTTTTTATGATATTAATTAACATATTTTTACTTTCACTCAAAGAACTCTCTTTTGTATTTCTTGTAAGTTAAATCTGCTAATGATGAACTCTCAGTTTTTATTTGTTTGGGAAAGTATTTCTCTATTTCTGAAGGACAGCTTCACCAGATATAGAATTCTTGGTTGACAGGATTTTTTTTTCTTACAATATTTTGAATATGTCCCCTCTTTCTCTTCTGGCTTGAAATGTTTCTGTTGAAAAACCTCCCAATAGTGTTATTAAGGTTCTCTAATTTGTAATTTCTTTCCTCTCTCTAGCTGCTTTCAAAATTCTTTAATTGTATTTGACTTCTACAATTTAATTATAATGTATCTTAGTGTAGCCCTGCTGAGAGTTAACCTGTTTGGAGGTCTTTTGGATTTCATGGATCTGGATGTCTACTTTTCCAAGATTTAGGAATCTTTTAGCCATTATTGCTTTAAATATATGTTCTGTCCCTTTCTGTTTCTCTTCTCATGTTGGAATTACCATAGTGTGGATATTGTTTCTTTTTATTGTGTCCCAATAGTCCTATAGGCTTTTCTTATTCTTTTCCATTCTTTGTAATTTTTGCTCCACTGGCTGGATTCTTTCAAATATCTTGTCTTATAGGTCATTGATTCTTTCTTTTGCATGGCTAAGTTTTCTTTTGAAGGTCCCTATTGAATTCTTCATTTCAGTCGTTGTATTTCTCAGCTCTAGGGTTTTTACTTCATCTCTTTTGATGGTTGCTATTTCTTAAACTTTTCATCTTGTTCATATGTTGTTGCCTTAAGTTTATTTAGTTTTCTGTGTGTTCTTGTAGTTTACTTCTTTAACAAGATTATTTTGAATTATTTGTCTGACATTCATAGTTCTTAATTTCTTTAGGATCAGTTATTGAAGTTTTATTAGTTTCCTTTGTTGATGTCACATTTACTTGATTTTTTGTGATTCTTGATTTTTTATGTTAGTATCTTCATTTTGGAGTAAGTGATCTCCTGTTCCAAACTTTACTGGTTCACTTTGGCAGAGATCATTCTTCACCAGCAGCTCAGTTTGGGTTTTTGTATGCATCTGCTGGTCATGTCCTTGGACAGTAAAGCTTGCTATCAGTCCATTTTAGGGCAAGGCCACTGACTGAGCTCTGAGTTCAGGGTGTCAGTGCTAGTGGCTGAGAACAGTTGGATAGGACTGTTGGCATAATTATTTCCCCAAGTGAGACTGTGGGATGAGTCTGCAGTTGCCTGGGTTCTCCGATCAGGCTTACTCTGGTTGTAACTGATACTATGTGCAGTATTAGGTGGGGCTCTAAATTGTTTCCCTGCCCCGTATGACAGCAGAATAGGCCCCAAGGCCAGCATGGCTCATTGTATGGGGATCTGAATTGGGAAAGACTATGCACTAAATTCCCCAGCCAGACAGGGTCACTGGTTTTGCTCTACAGATGGGGAAAGCCATGGGCTGTGTTCTCTGTCTGAGTGCCACTATCACCAGGGCTCGTGGATGGCATATGAAGTCTCCTGTGAGCTCTGGTTAGGTTCCCTGGTAGGGGAAGCTGGAAGTTATATTCAGCAATATGTGGGACTATGGATGAATTTCCTTGCCTGGGTAGAGCAGTGGAACCAGCTCCAAGACC